ATGCCGATGCGCACACCCGGTGATCGGGGTTCCGATCGGACGTGTGAAGATCGAGTGAAGTTTTGATGATCCGATCTATGACGCGATCACGTCCCACGTCTCGATCGCAAGGAAAAAGAACTCTGCGATCCAGGGCTGTTCAGCGAGTCGTGCGAGTGGTGGAGATCGTGTAAACTGATATATATATATACATATATATATGTACACATAGAGATATACACACACACACACGCACTGTAATGTATATGTATGTATGCATGCATGGAAGCATGAAAGCCTGAGTGAATGGCTGAATGTATGTATGGATGAATGTATGAATGAATGAATGATTAATGAATGAACGTATGCATGTATGTCTGTCTGTCTGTCTGTCTGTCTGTCTGTCTGTCTGTATGTATGTATGTATGTATGTATGTATATATGTATGTATGTATGTATGTATGTCTGTATGTATGTATGTACAGTATGCACATAGTGTTCACTTATGCGCTGCGTACATTTTGTACATATATCATCATCATAAAGCATGCATACATATCTGTGTGCATATGTGTGTGTGTCCTTGTGCCTGTATGGCTGTAGCCCGCATATCTGGATTTCATCATGTCTGTCTGTCTGTCTGGCTGTATGTAGGTTTGCATGTAGGTACGTATGTATGTATGTATGTATGTATGTACGCATGTATGTGTATGTATGTATGTATGTATGTATGTATGCATGTCTACTTGCCTGTATGTCTGTACCTCTTCATGTCCGTGTGTCTGTCTGTCTGTCTGTCTGTCTGTCTGTCTGCATGTAGGTACGTATGTAATAGTATGTTTGTATCCATGTATGCATGTAGGTACGTATGTATGTATGCATGCAGGTGTGCATGTATGCATTATGAATGTATGCACCTATGCATGTAGGATGTATGACTGAATGACTGACTGAATGAATGAATCACTGAAATGCATGCATGTACGTATGTACGTATGCACGTACGGACGTTTTTGTGTGTGCATATATACGTATGTATGTATGCTCGTATGTTCGCATGTATGTATGTATGTATGTATGTATGTATGTCATGTCATGTATGTCATGTATGTCATGCATGTCATGTATGTATGTACGTATGTATGTATGTATGTATGGATGCATGCATGCATGCACGCATGCATGCGTGTATGTATGTATGTATGTATGTATGTATGTGTGTATGTATGTATGTATGTATGTACGTATGTATGTATTATCTATGCAGTTCCTGTACCTATGTGTGTATGTATGTATAGATAGATAGCTAGATAGAGTCAAGAGGGAGAGAGGGAGAGAGGGAGAGAGCGAGAGAGAGAAAGAGAGAGAGAGAGAGAGGGGGGGGCAACCCTCTTGCCCATAACCCTGCCGAAAGAGAGACAGAGAGAGAGAGANNGAGAGGGAGAGAGAGAGAGAGAGCGCCAGCTCCCTGTATAGACTTTCATGATAACACCTTTGAGTGAGACTCCTCCACGAAAGTTGGCCTAGTTGTTTCTACGTGGCTTTGTTACACTCTCTTCGTTATTTCTACTACACATGGGGGCCTGCATCCCTGAACCCTGAAGCCAAGTTCATTGAAACTGAAAAGATGCCGCGGCGAAAGCATCAGTTCCTACATCGTCGTCTCTTTTCAGCACTGCTCCGTGTTGCTGCCCTCGTCATGCCCGGCACACTAACATCAATGGGGAGTTGCCCCATGGGAAGCCGAGACAAATCCTTGTGATTGCAACATCGTTTTTCACTGTCAGTCTTGTTCTCTGTTGCTGCCCCCGTGGAACTCGGCATATAAACAAACAGAGGGGATTTCGCATTGCCTCGCCCCAAGCAGGCTCAAGCCTTTCAACTGCGTCACAGGCAGGAACCCTTGTGCACCTTATTATTTTCATTTATTAGGTAGGATGCTTGTTTTCCATGTTACTCTTAGGCCAGACATTGCACAGGGACACCCGATGCCTCTTTCCCTTTGTCGCGCATGCACAGTACAAAGATAGCCAAGGTAAACTAAATCTCCCGCTGTCTTGTACTTTTCCTAGCTCGGGGTGCCTTCCCCTTGTTGTATGATTCACTTACTTCTATTTGGAAAGTTGCCTTGGTGGCACTTGAGAAATTCACCACTCCCTCCGCAACAGGCGGGGCGCCGACGCGCGCGCGGGTCAATTGCAATGCTGATATCTCATGTCGGTACGCTTGGTTCTTGTAGTCTGCACCTTGACCTTTCGTTCGCATTCACTCGGACCAGCTGTGACGACCCAACGGACCCAACAGTGCTTCACGAATGATGCCGGATTGTTGCAGTGCACTTAGACTTAGGCAGCTGACTTGAACGTTGAGTGTTTTGTTGCATTATGATATTGGAAAATGATAAACTGTCAATCCAGGTGGCGCCTTACTGAACACGATCTCCAAGTTGGCTTCGATGAACCATTGTGTGTGTACTGGTGAAAGGACCGTGTTATGTTCGGTCATTTGTTCTGCTCACTGAGATGAGCCAGCGGGGGAACGCTCAGAGGCTTTCTGAATTTCAGTCCTTAGCACAGACTGTGATCTGATGCATCTCGAATCGGGGCCTCAGCTGCGCTTCTGCTGTTCTGCAGTGTAGTTTCTACTTTGAAGACCGAATTGTACATCACGTCACTTGAAGATCTGGTCACGCGCTCCGGAGGTAAATAGATGGATGGACAAACATACAGAGACAGATAGGCAGAGAGGGCCGGGCTTAGGCAGGGCTATGAGGGAGAGCAGGACGGAGGGGAGGGGGGGTTCTTGTTTCAGACTAACAAGAGGGGGGAAATGGGGGGAAATAGGGAGGGGGGTTTTCTTGTTCGGACCCCTTGCCCTCCTTCCCCCTCCCGCCTTTCTTTTTCTACCCTCGCACCCTGCCGAAGTGCGGGCGAACCCCCACCCGTTCCTATCGGGGTGCGGTCCCCGCCGAGGAGAAAAGAGCAGCCACTGTTGCAAGCCAGTTTCGTCGTACGAAATGCCAAACAATCCACAGTTTAGTCGCTGCCTGGGATTTCGGCAAAAAAAGGCAACAGAAATAATCTTATGTAGAGAACTAAGTGCAGCGAAGAATCCCCACCACAGGGAGATCGTAGCCATCCATGCCACGAGAACCACAGCGAGCACGGAATAACCGAATAATCACTACTGATACAACCAAGCACCAGCTGGCAGCAATGCTGCATGCCGGAGCCGAAAATCACACAGGCAACGGCGGAAGGTGTGCGAATGCGCCGTAATTAAGTCGACCGACCTACCCCACGGACATGGCCAAACAAGCAACAGAAAGAAACCCAATCGACGATTCATGGTAGACGTGCTATGGCACCAGAATGGTGCCGAAGTAAAGTTTCCCGAACTCTGAGGTTGGCTCGTTTAGCCGAGAAGCCCACCAGGCGCCGCGGAGGTTGCAGGGTCGTTTCCGAAAGCCCTCCGCCGGCTGGCCTGACAGGGAGTTTGCCGAGGAGCACTTGGTGACGTCCGTCCTGCCAGAGGGCGGGGCATTCGTGGCAGACTGCGGGTGCTCTGTAACGCCGAGCTGCCTGCAGGGCTCTTCCTTACTTCCTTCGGTCAGTACGTGCTGACACCCAGCGTCTTCCGGGCTCTGCGCTCCTCCAAGGCGGGGCTCGAGGTGGAAGCAGCACCGCTAAACAGAGCAAACGGCGCAAGCAGAAACTCCGCAGATCCCAGGCCGGTCACTTCACCGAGGCCTTGGACCAGCTCCGCCAGTCCGAAGGTCGCAGCCGCAGGGCCTTGGAAGCGAGAGAAACAAAAAACGAAGCTTTGTCCCCCGCAGGCGTCTTTGGGGTCCTCATCGAGGGTATGCGCTGGGATCTAGGAGCCTGGGCTGCACACCAGAGCTGTGAGATTCGCCTTGATATCCTGTGTGATGGGGCTGCGAGGCACTATGCAAACCTATGTCCAGTGCTTGCAGGCACAAGCGCAAGAAACTCGATGGCATGGGAACTTTTCTGATTCGACGACGGCCATCCCCATCCCGTCTTGTCTTAGGATGACGCAGAACCTCCCGCGAAGCGAAGCAGAGCCGTCTGAGAGCCAACATGGCTCCCACGGCTTGGCGGCCTCTGGGGAGACTCGCAATTGTGTAGGAGTGCTAGATAGGATTCCTAAGAGACACGGACAAGGCTTCTGGAACAACCTGGAAGCTCTTTTTGTCGGGATATCGATTTCTATAGCCAGCGGCAAAAAGAAGCTTGAACTGGGCTTGCTGCGCCGGCCCGGGTGGAACAGAAGGTCGATTCCATGAGCTGTTTTCCGGATGTTGCTGGATGATGTAAGATGCTGACAGATTTCTCCCGTCCACGGCCTACGTTTACGAACGGAAGATCCAGAGAATGCCCACGGCCCCAGCATGGCTAGTGCCATGCGGCTAGGAGCCTCTGCCACACCCCCGAGGCCACCGAGGACGCATCCGGGCCGCGCCTCGTGGATGCGACCTCCACCAACCCGCCTGGGGCTTGGCTTCCGAAAACGCGTTTGAAGCGCTGAGGGGCCGTTTGTCTGGAGCCGATTGCAAGGCTCAGCGGGGCATTGACGATGATGACGGAGTTCCATTTCCTTTTCGATGAGGTTCCGAAAAGCCATGCGTTCGAACTGGGGAAGCTGGCAAGTCTGATATCCTTGCGTCTCTGTCTCGCCAGGTGGCCTTGCGCGGCCCAGGCCGACTTTCCGTGGTGCGTCTGGCGGACCAAGAGCGAGGTGCGAGTCCAAGGGTCGGTGACAGCTTGGCAGGCACACAGAGCGCCACGGGCAAGCTTTACCTTCGAGAGAGGGGTATAGGATGGCAATCCAACGGCAGGTCCCGCCGCGGTAGTGGATACGATGCCTGAGATCGTGCAGCACCCGTACCTGCCCGGAATGGCCTTAATCTCAGCGAACGCTGCTGGTGCGAGGGCAGAGCTTGGAGATCTAACCGGTCACCACGGCAAGCCCCGATGAGTCTTTCCTTTTTAGCTCGGGCTCCTGAACTAGCTTTTGCAAGCGCACCCCATACCCCCTCCCCTCCCAAACACGGCACAAGCAGCACCATCACCATCACCGCCCGAATCAGCATACATCCAGCAATCACCATCATCACCATCATCATCATCATCGTCATCGGCATTGTCATCGCCATCCTCCTCCTCCTCATCATCACCAACAACAACATCATCATCATCATCATCGCCATCGGCATTCTCACCGCCATCCTCCTCCTCCTGCTTGCTCATCATCATCATCATCACGGAGGCTAGCTCTTTAGGAGCTTGCGGGCCAAATTATCTTCTGGGTGGTGCAAGCGACCCGACGCCATATCAGCTACTAGATTGATACTTGAGAGGCTGCAGCTTCAGGTCCTCCTGTCTTAGCCTACGGAATCTTCCACTCACGCCGAACATGTCCTCCCTGGGCATCTCTGAGGTAATCGTGCGCCCCAGCATCGGCCTGGAAATGGGCCTGGAGCTCGTTTTCTGGATCACCTGATGCAAGGTGCCATGATGTGCCATGCAAGGTGGCTGAGAACTGACATACGTTCTTAGGTGCCAGCTACGAGGTGGTCTTCGGCCCCGGAGCACTCCAGGACAAGCTGTTGTCGGGTGTTACTGGAGCACATAAGGGACATAAGGCTAATGTTGGCTCGGCTCGTCCTTCTCGAGGACCGTCGCGGAAACTTGGCACACAGCTCCAAGGAGTACGAGGCGGGGCAACGGTCTCGCCTTGTTTTCGTGCAGCGATGTTTTGGGATTGTGGAACAATCCAGGCACCAGGAGAGTGGGAGCACCGGGTCTCTTGTGCTACAGCCTCAGCCTACAAGCTGAGCAACGGCTCTCGCCGTAGACTTTGCGTCCAGAGAACCCGGCTCTGATTTGCATTTCCAAGTTCCGGGGGCGCTGTCCGGATGGGCCAATCTTCGGGCTAGACGACTTCACTGTGCGAGCCCACATCTCAGCTGCAACTCAGAATCACACTCACAACCATGCCATCAAAGCTGATCTCGATAGCAGGGTAATGAGGCTAGCTCTGATGCTGTCGCTGCTGGCGATGATCCGTCGTGAAGATGAAGATGCTGATGGCCTTCATGAACCAATGTGGTTTCGATGTGTCAGATGTCCTAGCAAGCCACATGACGGAAGCCCTCACTCTTCCAGTCTGCCTTTATCCGAAGTTAGGTGGAGTTAGGAGTCTTAGGATGGTGTTGGCGAGTACATCCCTGGTGTGGTCTTCCAGTGGGCTTGTTCATGCTTGTTGCCTGCTTCCCCGTGACGATCTCCAATACATGATGTCGGTTGTACCATGAATACTCGTATACCAGCAATAGATCATGTTTAAATATTTTGGTGAATGTGGGTAGAACTCCTAGCATACGTGATAATAGACGAGCCAATCGCATCCGCAAAGCTTCTGTTCATCGCATGAATGGCATTGGTACTTGGAACCTTGTGCTAGTTGAAGTGTTGCGGTTCCTGCTGACATCAATGCCATAAAGGTTTCAATGTCATTGGCAATGCCAACAAGAGAAGCATCGGTAAACGTCAGCACTGCTCTCATCGCGAAGATTCATGATGGTCCTATGAGCAGAGGATTGTCGACCTCGAAACCTTGGTAAATAAATATCCCCGGACAACAACCTGATGAGTTCATACATACAGACATATACGCATACATGCATGTTTGACATGGCATGTATGACATGGCGGAGTGTGACATTGCCAGCATGACATGGTCTGACATGCCACCATGTGTATTCATGTCCGTCAGCAAATCTTGCTGAGCTTCACCTTGCTGTGAGAATAAGAGGACGAAGTATTCGAGAGCTGTTGAAACGAGTTCCTTGACTGCTCGAATCAGTTCGCAACGACAAGGAGCTGAGGCAGGTTGAATCCGAAAGAAGCAATGTGAAGAGCCAAAGCACTGCAGGTGCCAGCACAAGGAGGAGTCCAGGCCAGCCGTCCCGTCATCCCATGGCAGGTCTGGTATTTCTATGGTGAAATTCATGACAAACAAGTCATCATGTTATGATTCTTCGGTGGATCAACCGTTGCATTGTTGACTGTAGTGCTGCATACATCGTACAACGCATCGCGTCATAAGACCATTTTCTTCGTGTACCGTAGAGCCTTGGCATCAAAAAGTCTAACAAGGTGAATCATGATCTAAAATGTCATTGCAGTCCGTTACGTCACGCTATTGTCGGTTTGCCTTCTGCTTTTCTTTGCTATGCATGAGCCTGCAGTCTTCCTGTGTTCGTGGCAAGGGTCGCGGTGTCTCGCCAGGACCCTCGGCCTCCGGAGCTGACCTGGGCCCTCTACCCCGCTCCGGAGCAGGCCATCTTCAGGCGCTTCGAAGCGGGACGCCTCCACTGCTCGTGCGGTCTCGTGCTCGCAGTGTGAAGGCAGGAGAACCTCGTCCTGCAATTCAGCTCGGTGGCATCAGCCCGAGTGACCTTTGCCCTAAGGCTCTAAGGACGGAAGTGGGAGGTAGCGCAACTCAGGTCAGCCCGCATCCCATGGGCAGCGTCATGGAGCTTTGCTGGGACTTAGCACCGCATTGTTCAGACAGCCGTTTTTGAGCGAGACATTGCTACAGCAGCATAGAACACACAACATGTTTGCAAAGATCTGAGCTTAGGGTGTGCAACTCTTGATGAGATTCTGTTGGCAATCCTAAGGCTGGAACTGGACTGTTCATGATGTCTGCCCGCTGAAGCTGACGTTCCAACACAAGGAGCCGGATGCGACCCTCCGGGGCTCTAAGCTTCTCCCGTGGCCTTCTTGAGGATATGCTTTTCGTCGGAGACAAGGTCGGACCAGTTGCATGAGGTCCTGTGAGTGCTGTGGATCGGCTGTGAGGTGATCATCAATCCACCGGAGGATCTTGTGCCGGGACTCTCATACAATGCGGGGTCCCCAGACTGTCGAGGAGTCATGCCTCGACAAGTTTCAGAGCGACGGTGTCCGTTGAGAAGGTGTCCATCCAGAGTGGCGTGATTTCCAACTTCGAAGGGCTGCGCCGGATGCTGAGAACTGGGCAGGCTGAAACTGGTAGGTGCTGCTCAATCTGCCATTCTTCGTCAAAATTTGCAACAGTTCGTGCAAAGCTGTCTCGTTAGGTGCAACAGCTGCCGGCCAGTTCCAGTACACTTTCTCTGTCCTTGCAGAGGCACCGGCCCCAGGGGCTTGCAGCACCCAAGCTCTGGGCCCCACTGTAACTCTGGGTCTCGGGAATCTGTTGGCGACAACTCACTTGCCCTGCAGCCTCGGAGTCTTGGAGATGAGACTCCTGCATGGTACTGCAATGTCTCGGGCTTAGAACCACACGATATCATGCTTGCCCAGCTGATTACCGCGATATGTTCTCCCATGCCAGCGCAGTCCCTCAACATTCGAGACATTCTCGCTGAGAAGTCCAGCAGCATCCCAAACAAAAATCGGATGCAAGTACGACCTGTCCCTCGTTTTTCTTGCATGCTGGATGCTTGAATGCACCGGTAGCTTGCGGAGCCATCGATGTCGACTCGCTTTGCGGGACCTCGAACCGGAGGGCTCCACGCGAAGCAGAGGCTGCTGCTGGTCTTTGTAGGGTGCCTCTGCTCGATGCCGATCGCTGGCAGGATAGCTTTGAAGGCAGCAATGATCCAGGCAACTCTTGAGTGGAGTTCCTTCGAAGAGCTCTTGGACATGGCCCAAAGTCGCTCCAACCGCCGATCCAACGAGCACAACGGGAACAATGAGGCGTACTGGCGAAAGCGCGGCTACGATGGTCGCCCCGATAACTGGGAGGAGAGATATGCTGCCATTCGCGCAGAGCGACAGAAAGCAGGTCGTCTCGAGCATGAGACAAATCACGCAGCATCCAGATCACCCGATCAGAAGCGTGCCGCATCTCGGGACACAGTCAAGGTCATGGAGGCCATCAGGGAAGCTTTGGCTCCCCAAGCCAAGGTCATTGTCGCTGGAAGCCGGGCGAAAAAGACGGACCTCGCTACTTCCGATCAGGACTACTACATCGACTGGGAAACCTCCGTGACATTGCAGCATCGCGATGAATTGCAGGAAGAGCTTGAGAAGAGGTTTCCTGGCGCCGTGGAGATCACTAAGCATGGTACTCTTCGTGTTGCAGGCGAATCGGGCCAGCTCTGCATTACCTTCGCTCACGCGCTCTTCTACGACGAGAGCTTCGAGGCATGTGACGTGTCACTCATGAAGCGGCAAGCTTGGCGCTGCATCCCTCGGTTCCCGGTCAAGGAAAGAGCACGCCTGGACAAAGATGCCTTCAAGGGCAACAGGCCCGCTCAGCAGGCGGTGCGAGTTCCTTGGCAGTTTCCAGGGACTCAACGCATCTGCGACCCCGAGAACCCTTCCTCGGGGATCTGCGGCCCGAGGCCGTGAAAATGAAGCTCCAAGATGCAGGCATCAAGCTCAAGGGCCACACCTTGGAATATGCCGTGCTGAAAGTGCAGGAGGAGCAACTTGGAAGGACTTGGACCTTTCCTCAGCTTAGCGGCTTAGCCCCCTGGCAGATCGCTTCTAAGGCATCCCTATGCTGGCTTCTATGATCTAGCCATGAAGACGTTGGATGCACTGGGCTTGCGAAGAGTCTTTTAGTTAGGAGCCAGCGTAGATGTGCCATTGCAAGACGAAGTTGTTCCCCATCTTCCTGCTGGAAGTGTTGGCCCATTTAGCTCGCATTGATTAGTCAGGACTTCTTTAATTCGAGAACCTCGCCTGTTGCGATTTCATTCCGTTCGGAAGATTGGGATTTTTCGAAATCCCGGAGCTCCCAGTCTTTTGGCATCTTGCATAGCAGGTGCTGCTTAGCTTGCACAAAGAGATCTAGCCATTGATGGCTTTTGCAGCTGAGTGGCCTTGAGTGATCAGCAAAGACCGACATCCGCTTTGGTTTGAGCATCTGTTGGCAAAAAGATCGACCATCAGCATATGCATCGCTGTTGACTTAGCACCAGACATGGAAAGTTTTGCAAGAGCAAAAGGACGTCTTCGACCGCTCGCCTCCCGAGCTCGTGGCCGTCGAGGTGGTGGTGGCCCCGGCCGGACGAGTTGGGCCTCTGGCGCAAGCTTTCCGTGGCTTTCCGGTGGTTCGCCGAGGATTGCTCCAACATTTCCGCACCTGGAGAGCCCGAAGACTGGCCAGGCCCCACTGAAGCTTTTCAGGGATTTGTCGACGCCGAGTAAGATGTGTGACCAGGCTGTGCAGTGTGGTATCGCTTGCAACAGCAGATCGTCGGGGAGGCCGAAAAGTGGGGGCCGCTTCCTTGGCAAACCTGCAGAGGCGTACTCCGCATCTGTTGTTTTGGAGTTGCGAACGTCTTGTGACACACACACCTATCATCGCCTATCATCGCCTATCTGACTGACCATAGATGGGAGAAAGAGGGCGCAGCACTGCCGCCGCACGGTGTCATCAGCACTTAGGCTGGCCGATAATGTGGTGCCCTCAGAACTGGGCGACATCTCGCGTCCCAATTGGGTCATGTACTGTTGCATCAAGCCGCGAAGAACCTTTCAAAGCCAAGCCTTTGGGGGTTGCCATGGGTTGCCAATGCTTTCTCTGCTCTTTCAAGGCTCCGCCCCCTGCGATGCCGGCCGGCGCCCGCTTCCGCTTCTACTTCCGGGAGCCGGTGACGAGGGCAGAACATTAAAGCGTGTGAGTAGGCCTTAAGTTTGCAGGGTTCGCCTTGACGGCATTGGTGCAGTGGTGCCACACACTCCGATGTCAGAGCGACAGTTGTAGTAGTGCCAGCACCCTGGCAATTAAGAGGGTGGTTTGCCAGGTGCAGATCCTTGGACGCGCTGGGCCGAGCTGAGAGATTCGCTCATTGAGCTACCTGTGAAGACTCAGTACAGAACCAGTCCAGAGATTTCACGCCGTGCAGCACCCGTGAAACCAAAAGCGGAATTCTCAGGAAACGCAGCGGTGCTGGCCGCCGAGCCATTGGAGAAGGCTGCTAGTGCAGGGCAAGTGTCGACAACGTCGGGTTCAAGTTCAGGGTCGGGCTGGCAATGGTGCACAGTCTAGTCCCTTTCGGCCTCCTAGCATCGTCTTTCTTGAACCATGTCTGCCATGGGCCTACATGTCGGCTGGGAGAGCAAGGTAAAAACTGCAGTGCCCGCAATGCTCGGCTTTGGAGCAGCTTTGGGGTCGTAAGGGTCCTGGAAGGTGGGATCTTCGGGAAAGCAACCACGGTGAAAGCAATACCAAAAGCCCTGTAGTCCTTGCCTGAATATCCCGGTCCTGCATCCTAAACCCGAACACAAATCTGTTGGGCTCGAGTCGCTTTCGTGTGCACAGGAGCCGCTGTCACCGGAGCAGGCCTCGTCCGGGAGCTAACAGGAAAAGCGGGGGACATCGCTTCTCGGGCCTTGAGGCTTCCGTTCAGGGCCGTTCAGGGCCTGTGAGCTAAACAGAGTGCAAATTGGTCGGACATGGCTGTCAGGCTGAGGCCCGAAGTGTTCTCCCCGCAGGTTCCAGCCATGGTCGGGACTGCTGAGGAGGACACGTGCCGCGCGCCTCTGCCTGCATGTATCTGCATGGCGCTTGCATGGGCGCCGTGCGTTTCCCCTTGTTCCCTGCACCTTGCAGGACGGAGTGCTGGTTGTCGCCGGGCGCTCGGCTGACCAAGCTATTGCAAAGTCTTATCTGAGAGCTTCGAGTCGAGGTGAAAACGTCGGGACTAATTTCTATGGGTCCCAACGCTGACCAAGTTGACATTCAAGCAAACACAGATCGCTTGATCAGACTGCAAAAGAAGACAGAAACCATAAAACTTACAAAGGCTCTCGAGTTGCTCTCAAGCCCAAAAGCACAGACTCCCAGCTGAAGAGCCGTAACTGGCTGTGATGTACTGAACAGAACCCGCCCCCAGAGCTCCAAACACCAGGTTCCAGAACTGCTCCCCGGTGAGCTTTATACACTCCAAGTGGGCTCCGGGCTCGCCGATCTGGCCACGGGCCCAGTCGCGGTGGCAGAAAACTGAAAGTTAATAGCCATGATCGTGTATGGATGCTCTTAACATAAGGAGACTCAGGACTCAGGATGACAGCACAAGAGCATTTGACCTAATGCCATGCCAGTAGTATTAGGTGATCGTTACCGTGGGACGCATGGCAGTAGAGGTTCCATCAGTAGCAGTAGCGCTGGCAGTAGCAGTAGCAGCAGCCGTCGTCGGCCTCGTCGTCTCGTCAGTGGGGCAGCGCAGGAGCAGAAGTAGGAGTAGCAGTGGTTGTCGTGTTCACGGTCGTTGTCGTCGTCGTCGTCATCTTGGTCTTGGTCATGACCTTGTTCGTGGTTAGTGCCAGATACAGAACGATAGCCCAGTAGCATTGGTAGCTGTAGAAGCAGCAGAAGTGAGGAATAGAAGTAGTGGTCGTCGTCGTGGTCATGGTGGTAGTGGTGGTCAGAATGGTAGAGGTAGCGGTAGTGGAGTGGTAGTCGTCGTTGTGGTCGTCGTCGTCGTCGTCGTCGTAGTAGTAGTAGTAGTAGTGGTAGTCGTAGTAGTCTGCTAGTAGTAGTAGTAGTAGTAGTAGTAGCAGTAGTAGTAGTAGTAGTAGTAGTAGTAGTAGTTGTTGTTGTAGCAGTAGTAGTAGTAGCAGTAGTAGTAAGAGTCGTCGTAGTAGTAGTAGTAG